GTTGGCTATTTGACAGATTTTCACAAAACCGGAAGCCGCCATCTTGGATTTAAAAATGGCATGAATGATCGATTTCCGGCCTCTGCATGTCGTCTCGGTTCCGAAAATATCCATATCGTTGGCTATTTGACAGTTTTTCACAAAACCGGAAGCCGCCATCTTGGATTCCAAAATGGCATGAATCATCGATTTCCGACCTCTGCATGTCGTCTCCGTTCCGAAAATATCCATATCGTTGGCTATTTGACAGATTTTCACAAAACCGGAAGCCGCCATCTTGGATTTAAAAATGGCATGAATGATCGATTTCCGGCCTCTGCATGTCGTCTCGGTTCCGAAAATATCCATATCGTTGGCTATTTGACAGTTTTTCACAAAACCGGAAGCCGCCATCTTGGATTCCAAAATGGCATGAATCATCGATTTCCGACCTCTGCATGTCGTCTCCGTTCCGAAAATATCCATATCGTTGGCTATTTGACAGATTTTCACAAAACCGGAAGCCGCCATCTTGGATTTAAAAATGGCATGAATGATCGATTTCCGGCCTCTGCATGTCGTCTCGGTTCCGAAAATATCCATATCGTTGGCTATTTGACAGTTTTTCACAAAACCGGAAGCCACCATCTTGGATTCCAAAATGGCAGGAATCATCGATTTCCGGCCTCTGCATGTCGTCTCGGTTCCGAAAATATCCATATCGTTGGCTATTTGACAGATTTTCACAAAACCGGAAGCCGCCATCTTGGATTTAAAAATGGCATGAATGATCGATTTCCGGCCTCTGCATGTCGTCTCGGTTCCGAAAATATCCATATCGTTGGCTATTTGACAGTTTTTCACAAAACCGGAAGCCGCCATCTTGGATTCCAAAATGGCAGGAATCATCGATTTCCGGCCTCTGCATGTCGTCTCGGTTCCGAAAATATCCATATCGTTGGCTATTTGACAGTTTTTCACAAAACCGGAAGCCGCCATCTTGGATTCCAAAATGGCATGAATCATCGATTTCCGGCCTCTGCATGTCGTCTCGGTTCCGAAAATATCCATATCGTTGGCTATTTCACAGTTTTTCACAAAACCGGAAGCCGCCATCTTGGATTCCAAAATGGCATGAATCATCGATTTCCGACCTCTGCATGTCGTCTCGGTTCCGAAAATATCCATATCGTTGGCTATTTGACAGATTTTCACAAAACCGGAAGCCGCCATCTTGGATTTAAAAATGGCATGAATGATCGATTTCCGGCCTCTGCATGTCGTCTCGGTTCCGAAAATATCCATATCGTTGGCTATTTGACAGTTTTTCACAAAACCGGAAGCCGCCATCTTGGATTCCAAAATGGCATGAATCATCGATTTCCGGCCTCTGCATGTCGTCTCGGTTCCGAAAATATCCATATCGTTGGCTATTTGACAGTTTTTCACAAAACCGGAAGCCGCCATCTTGGATTCCAAAATGGCAGGAATCATCGATTTCCGGCCTCTGCATGTCGTCTCGGTTCCGAAAATATCCATATCGTTGGCTATTTGACAGTTTTTCACAAAACCGGAAGCCGCCATCTTGGATTCCAAAATGGCATGAATCATCGATTTCCGACCTCTGCATGTCGTCTCGGTTCCGAAAATATCCATATCGTTGGCTATTTGACAGATTTTCACAAAACCGGAAGCCGCCATCTTGGATTTAAAAATGGCATGAATGATCGATTTCCGGCCTCTGCATGTCGTCTCGGTTCCGAAAATATCCATATCGTTGGCTATTTGACAGTTTTTCACAAAACCGGAAGCCGCCATCTTGGATTCCAAAATGGCATGAATCATCGATTTCCGACCTCTGCATGTCGTCTCCGTTCCGAAAATATCCATATCGTTGGCTATTTGACAGATTTTCACAAAACCGGAAGCCGCCATCTTGGATTTAAAAATGGCATGAATGATCGATTTCCGGCCTCTGCATGTCGTCTCGGTTCCGAAAATATCCATATCGTTGGCTATTTGACAGTTTTTCACAAAACCGGAAGCCACCATCTTGGATTCCAAAATGGCAGGAATCATCGATTTCCGGCCTCTGCATGTCGTCTCGGTTCCGAAAATATCCATATCGTTGGCTATTTGACAGTTTTTCACAAAACCGGAAGCCGCCATCTTGGATTCCAAAATGGCATGAATCATCGATTTCCGGCCTCTGCATGTCGTCTCGGTTCCGAAAATATCCATATCGTTGGCTATTTCACAGTTTTTCACAAAACCGGAAGCCGCCATCTTGGATTCCAAAATGGCATGAATCATCGATTTCCGACCTCTGCATGTCGTCTCGGTTCCGAAAATATCCATATCGTTGGCTATTTGACAGATTTTCACAAAACCGGAAGCCGCCATCTTGGATTTAAAAATGGCATGAATGATCGATTTCCGGCCTCTGCATGTCGTCTCGGTTCCGAAAATATCCATATCGTTGGCTATTTGACAGTTTTTCACAAAACCGGAAGCCGCCATCTTGGATTCCAAAATGGCATGAATCATCGATTTCCGGCCTCTGCATGTCGTCTCGGTTCCGAAAATATCCATATCGTTGGCTATTTGACAGTTTTTCACAAAACCGGAAGCCGCCATCTTGGATTCCAAAATGGCAGGAATCATCGATTTCCGGCCTCTGCATGTCGTCTCGGTTCCGAAAATATCCATATCGTTGGCTATTTGACAGATTTTCACAAAACCGGAAGCCGCCATCTTGGATTTAAAAATGGCATGAATGATCGATTTCCGGCCTCTGCATGTCGTCTCGGTTCCGAAAATATCCATATCGTTGGCTATTTGACAGTTTTTCACAAAACCGGAAGCCGCCATCTTGGATTCCAAAATGGCATGAATCATCGATTTCCGACCTCTGCATGTCGTCTCGGTTCCGAAAATATCCATATCGTTGGCTATTTGACAGATTTTCACAAAACCGGAAGCCGCCATCTTGGATTCCAAAATGGCATGAATCATCGATTTCCGGCCTCTACACGTCTAGATTATACCATGCAAGAGTGGAAATGGCTGAATTCTAACACAAACCTGGTTCATTGTCTGGCTTTGTGGAAGCCAGCTGCTTTCAAGATGGTTAGGATTTACAAATGAGAGAAAATTCCGTAATGGTGTGATCAAAGCATTCGGAAGGTCTTTACCTCCAGAAGAACTTTATCATGAACGAATATGTTCTAGGTGATCATGACTTACAAGTACCGAATAAAATTCCATGCACACTGCTCAGTTTTTTTGTTATGATGAATTTTGAAATAACACGGGTTTATCACACGGTTTTGTGAAATACATGGTCTTTTTTTACACGGTTTTTTGAAACAACGCGGTTTTTTTTTACACGGTTTTTTTTTACGCGGTACGTATCCCCCGTGTAAAAAAGACTTGAGTGTACTAAAAAATAAAATTGGAAAATTTGTCATCACTATGAAAATGGGTTTTTCTTATTTACTTTGCTTTTTTTTTTTTATTTTTCCTCCAACGTGAATTTTTTTGTAAGAAACCTTTTTGTGATTACATTTTAAATTAATTGCTGCAATAATTTCTTTACAACTTCACAAGTTTGTTTCGACGATGCGCAGTTCAGAAGTTATAAATTTTCAAAATATGCAACGGTTTTCAACAACGGTAGATGGCACAACTCTAAAAATTTCACCAGTAAAAGAAAAAAGGATGCTGAACAAGAAATAAATAATTTGAAAATGTTTTATGACTCAGAAAATGTTTTTTTCTCAATTTTATTGCTATTTTTCATTGCCGTGAAAAGGTTTGAGAAAAAACTTTTCCAGGTTTTTAATCTATTGCTGAGAAAATTTACTTGATTTTTTACTAGACAATGCTATTCCTATGATGTACGGTTTGAAAGTTATGAATGTTCAAAGTATGGCACATCCGGAAAAATTTAAAAAATCTTAAATTAAAATTTTCCGAGAAAATTGACCCCCTAGAATTTTTAGATATTTTTTTTCGTTTTAAGAACCATGAAATCTACCAGTGAAATTTTTTATGTCATAAAAATCAATTTGCTAAAAAGTACGCCGGAATGACTGTGGACTTCTGGAAACGAGTTCTGTGGACGGATGAGAGCATATTTGAGTTATTTGGACAGGAAAGGCGATCAAGGGTTTGGCGAGGTTCCGGTGACGCTCTTAAGGAACCATACATTCAAAAGACGGTTAAACACGGACGCGGAAATATCATGGTATGGGGAGCATTTCCGTGGTCTGGTTTTGGAAGCTTGGCTCATATAAAGGGAATAATGACTGCAGATGTGTATATTGACTTGTTAAGTGAAAATCTGGAAGTTTCGCTACTGAAAACTGGCCTGGAATCCAATTACATTTTTCAACAAGATAATGACCCAAAGCACACAGCGAAGAAAACAACGGCATTTTTCAAATCAAATCGGATCAAAACGCTGGAAGGGCCTCCCCAATCTCCCGATCTCAACCTAATTGAGAATGTGTGGTCTTACTTGGACAACAAAGTGGATAAAGCATCGGTTTCCAACAAAAACGTTTATTTTGAAGCACTTGAAGCAGCGTGGGAGAATATAGATCCAGGATATCTATAAAACCTCGTCGAAAGTATGCCAAGACGATTGGAAGCAGTGTTGAAAGCCAAGGGTGGTCATACCAAATACTGGGAGTGTTAAAATGTAAGTTGAATGTTGAATTAAACAAGAATTGCAGAACAAACCATTATTGTATGTTTGAATCTACCTGATATATCGAGCTCCAAAGAAAAATTATATGGATGTATGATTTATTTTGTCCAGTACTGTAATTAATTTCAAAACGCATAAAACCGTTCTCAATTTTAACGCATCACATAACACTTATGTCACTAGAATAATTAAGAATGATTGTGCTATTCCGCTGGTTCAATGACCACCGGTCGAACATATCGGTTGTATTTAAGCACAGCTATTGCCGCCTCATGGGACAGTCCAGTCTGACGTACGCTAGAAGACGATGTCACGGTTGTTTGGAGTGGTGCTGATTTTGGTAAATTTGTTTCATTTGAAAATCATTCACTTCAAGTACTTACACATCTCCATCCTTTCACAGTCAGCGGCAGCGATGCTGAGCTTAGCGGATGCTAGTTTGTCCTATGGACGCAAAATAACCGACACTTTCTACGAAGCAACAGACGTGCAGGCTTGTGCTGCAGGCTTGAGCGTTTGCATCGGGTGTAAAACGTACAGGGTTTGTATAGGGGAACCAATCGAGGAAGACAATCCCCAAGAAATGTGCGCGGCTGACAAGCCTTACTGTCAAATACAAACCGGAGAGTGCGCCATCACTCCCGATAATTCTCTAGCACAATGTGAGAGTGATCCGCCAGTGACAACAACGACAACAGAGCCGACTCCAGTGATGCCGGCGTTCAAGTGTACCGGAGTGGGTAATTTTCCAGATCCGTACAACTGTGCAAAGTACTACTACTGCGTCACGGCAGGCATCGACGGAGATTCGTACGACTGTCCTCCGAGTCAAAGCTACAACGTAACCTCGCAAAAATGTCAGCAGATGGACAGCGGTTGCAAACCAATCGACTGCTCCGATTCAGAGTTCATCTTCAATGAATATCCCACAGATCCACAGTACTTTTACTACTGTAAACTTGCTGGAGTAATGCAGAGCACCTTACCAACGGTTTACATGTTCTCCTGCGGCAGTGGAGCCAAGTTTGATGTGTGCACTGAACAGTGTGTTTTCGGGTGCACCCAGGAAGGGCTTTTTGCCAAGTCATCGGACCCGAACAAGTTCTACCAGTGTTACATGGAGAACGGAACTTTGAAGTATGTAGAGAGAAGCTGTCCCGGGAAGAACCAGGTGTTTGACGAAGACGTGCAGTTTTGTATTTATCAGAGCGTTACGGTTAATCGACTTTGATTGATGATGATTGAATAAAGCTTAATTTCTTTGGTAGTAAAATTTACTTTTATCTGCTGGTTTTTTAAGTTTCAACATTTGGTTTTACATTTCAATTGGTTAGCCTTCGATTCTTCATCTTTGTTCTTGTTAATTAATTACTCTAATGTGATGATTACGTTTAGCGCACTACCTAACTACTTGAACTAGGTTTCCAAATCACGAATGATCTGGTGGTTTGATCGCAGACAGGCGACTCTGAACCTTTCCAGCGTGGACGTCTTTCGCTCCTCGAGTGTTTGAAGACCGGCCAGGTGGTGAATCTCAGAATTACGAGTTCGCGGTTTACTGTTGAGGATCATTCTGAGGATCTTGTTTTGGATTCTCTGGAGCTTTAGGTGGTGACTCTTAGCACAATTCTCCCAGATTGGCATACCATACTCAATAGCCGGCAGAATGATCTGCTTGTGGACAGCAAGCTTGTTTTTGAGGGACAGGGTGGACTTCCTGTTTATCAGAGGGTAGAGCAACCTGATCAAGATGTTACACTTGAAGGATGTCTTGTCCACATGGGATCGGAATAGCAATTATCAATCGAGGGTGAGATCACTTCACTCGACCACTCCTTGGTCGACCTTGACGTTAGCAGGTGGAACAAGCCGAGGTGAATTCGAGTGTGGTAACAGAATGGTTTGTGTTTTAGCTGCACCGATAAAAAATTTCCAGCTCTTGAAATAGTCGGACAGAACATCCAGGCCTGATTGTAGTTTACTCGCCAGAGCACGGATCACTCGATCCTTATAGATGATGGAGGTGTCATCTGCGAACATTGACAGGACACCATCACCCGGCAGGGGAGGAACGTCTAACGTGAAAATGTTGAATAGGATAGGCCCAAGAAGGCTACCCTGAGGAACCTCTGCATCAACGTTGAACGTATCAGAGGGGACATTGTTGAAGAAGACCTGGAATGACCTGCCCGACAAGTAGTTGTTGATTCCTCGTGGAATTGTAGGCCTGAACAGACCAGACAGACAGACCAGACAGACAGACCAGACAGACAGACCAGACAGACAGACCAGACAGACAGACCAGACAGACAGACCAGACAGACAGACCAGACAGACAGACCAGACAGACAGACCAGACAGACAGACCAGACAGACAGACCAGACAGACAGACCAGACAGACAGACCAGACAGACAGACCAGACAGACAGACCAGACAGACAGACCAGACAGACAGACCAGACAGACAGACCAGACAGACAGACCAGACAGACAGACCAGACAGACAGACCAGACAGACAGACCAGACAGACAGACCAGACAGACAGACCAGACAGACAGACCAGACAGACAGACCAGACAGACAGACCAGACAGACAGACCAGACAGACAGACCAGACAGACAGACCAGACAGACAGACCAGACAGACAGACCAGACAGACAGACCAGACAGACAGACTAGACAGACAGACCAGACAGACAGACCAGACAGACAGACCAGACAGACAGACCAGACAGACAGACCAGACAGACAGACCAGACAGACAGACCAGACAGACAGACCAGACAGACAGACCAGACAGACAGACCAGACAGACAGACCAGACAGACAGACCAGACAGACAGACCAGACAGACAGACCAGACAGACAGACCAGACAGACAGACCAGACAGACAGACCAGACAGACAGACCAGACAGACAGACCAGACAGACAGACCAGACAGACAGACCAGACAGACAGACCAGACAGACAGACCAGACAGACAGACCAGACAGACAGACCAGACAGACAGACCAGACAGACAGACCAGACAGACAGACCAGACAGACAGACCAGACAGACAGACCAGACAGACAGACCAGACAGACAGACCAGACAGACAGACCAGACAGACAGACCAGACAGACAGACCAGACAGACAGACCAGACAGACAGACCAGACAGACAGACCAGACAGACAGACCAGACAGACAGACCAGACAGACAGACCAGACAGACAGACCAGACAGACAGACCAGACAGACAGACCAGACAGACAGACCAGACAGACATACCAGACAGACAGACCAGACAGACAGACCAGACAGACAGACCAGACAGACAGACCAGACAGACAGACCAGACAGACAGACCAGACAGACAGACCAGACAGACAGACCAGACAGACAGACCAGACAGACAGACCAGACAGACAGACCAGACAGACAGACCAGACAGACAGACCAGACAGACAGACCAGACAGACAGACCAGACAGACAGACCAGACAGACAGACAGACCAGACAGACAGACCAGACAGACAGACCAGACAGACAGACCAGACAGACAGACCAGACAGACAGACCAGACAGACAGACCAGACAGACAGACCAGACAGACAGACCAGACAGACAGACCAGACAGACAGACCAGACAGACAGACCAGACAGACAGACCAGACAGACAGACCAGACAGACAGACCAGACAGACAGACCAGACAGACAGACCAGACAGACAGACCAGACAGACAGACCAGACAGACAGACCAGACAGACAGACCAGACAGACAGACCAGACAGACAGACCAGACAGACAGACCAGACAGACAGACCAGACAGACAGACCAGACAGACAGACCAGACAGACAGACCAGACAGACAGACCAGACAGACAGACCAGACAGACAGACCAGACAGACAGACCAGACAGACAGACCAGACAGACAGACCAGACAGACAGACCAGACAGACAGACCAGACAGACAGACCAGACAGACAGACCAGACAGACAGACCAGACAGACAGACCAGACAGACAGACCAGACAGACAGACCAGACAGACAGACCAGACAGACAGACCAGACAGACAGACCAGACAGACAGACCAGACAGACAGACCAGACAGACAGACCAGACAGACAGACCAGACAGACAGACCAGACAGACAGACCAGACAGACAGACCAGACAGACAGACCAGACAGACAGACCAGACAGACAGACCAGACAGACAGACCAGACAGACAGACCAGACAGACAGACCAGACAGACAGACCAGACAGACAGACCAGACAGACAGACCAGACAGACAGACCAGACAGACAGACCAGACAGACAGACCAGACAGACAGACCAGACAGACAGACCAGACAGACAGACCAGACAGACAGACCAGACAGACAGACCAGACAGACAGACCAGACAGACAGACCAGACAGACAGACCAGACAGACAGACCAGACAGACAGACCAGACAGACAGACCAGACAGACAGACCAGACAGACAGACCAGACAGACAGACCAGACAGACAGACCAGACAGACAGACCAGACAGACAGACCAGACAGACAGACCAGACAGACAGACCAGACAGACAGACCAGACAGACAGACCAGACAGACAGACCAGACAGACAGACCAGACAGACAGACCAGACAGACAGACCAGACAGACAGACCAGACAGACAGACCAGACAGACAGACCAGACAGACAGACCAGACAGACAGATCAGACAGACAGACCAGACAGACAGACCAGACAGACAGACCAGACAGACAGACAGACCAGACAGACAGACCAGACAGACAGACCAGACAGACAGACCAGACAGACAGACCAGACAGACAGACCAGACAGACAGACCAGACAGACAGACCAGACAGACAGACCAGACAGACAGACCAGACAGACAGACCAGACAGACAGACCAGACAGACAGACCAGACAGACAGACCAGACAGACAGACCAGACAGACAGACCAGACAGACAGACCAGACAGACAGACCAGACAGACAGACCAGACAGACAGACCAGACAGACAGACCAGACAGACAGACCAGACAGACAGACCAGACAGACAGACCAGACAGACAGACCAGACAGACAGACCAGACAGACAGACCAGACAGACAGACCAGACAGACAGACCAGACAGACAGACCAGACAGACAGACCAGACAGACAGACCAGACAGACAGACCAGACAGACAGACCAGACAGACAGACCAGACAGACAGACCAGACAGACAGACCAGACAGACAGACCAGACAGACAGACCAGACAGACAGACCAGACAGACAGACCAGACAGACAGACCAGACAGACAGACCAGACAGACAGACCAGACAGACAGACCAGACAGACAGACCAGACAGACAGACCAGACAGACAGACCAGACAGACAGACCAGACAGACAGACCAGACAGACAGACCAGACAGACAGACCAGACAGACAGACCAGACAGACAGACCAGACAGACAGACCAGACAGACAGACCAGACAGACAGACCAGACAGACAGACCAGACAGACAGACCAGACAGACAGACCAGGCAGACAGACCAGGCAGACAGACCAGACAGACAGACCAGACAGACAGACCAGACAGACAGACCAGACAGTTCCACGAGGTAGATCGGAAAGTTGTATCGATGCAGCTTGTACACTAGACCATCATGCCAGACATTGTCGAACGCCTTCTCGACGTCCAAAAATGTCATGGCAGATGTATTGGAAACAGACTTGTTCCGCTTGATAATGTTAGTAACCCGTGCGAGTTGGTGTATGGTAGAGTGGCTTTCCTTAACCCGAATTGCTCTGTGAGAAAGATGTTATTATCATATGAAAACACCAGCAGACGGCTGAGTATCAACTTTTCGAATAGATTCGAGATGGAGGACAAGAGGCTTTTGGCACTGGTAGGATCTTTGCCAGGCTTGTGTATTGAAACCACTTTGGCTAACTTCCAGCATGCAGGGAAGTAGTCAAGCTCCAAACATTTGTTGAAGATAACGGTAAGATGGTTGAAGAAGTCAATACTCAAGTTGTTCAACTCGAGGTTGACTACACCATCTATACCTGCGGCCTTCATGTTTTTAGTGCTTCTAATAGCCGATATTCTACTATCATCATGCACTACTACGGAGGTGTCAGCGACTCTAGACATCGCCTCCAGTACGGCAGGCTCATGGGGGCTCACCATGGTTTGGCCAAGATTATGTGAAATCGCAAAATGCTGGCCAAGAGCATTGGCCTTTTCAACTGGGGTTATAAGTAGGGATGGGTCCGAGTTCTGGTCAACAGTGGAAAGTGCAGGGATCGGTCTAGACTTATTTTTCAAAACTGTGGTCATCTTCCAAACTGGTTTTGCACAATCTGAGTTCTGGATAATTTTGGTTAGCCTATCGACATTGGTCTTCAAGTAGGGCAGCCTAAAACGCTGGAACTGCCTACGAATGGTGTTACGGAGCCTGATAAGATCTTTGGTTGGGCTGTCACGGTTTAGAGTATGACTCACCTGTCTGGATGCTGGTACGTGTTGCTCCCTGGCACGGGATATCGCCTCTTCGATGGCTTGCAGACACTGATCGACTTCTTCGTACGACTCCGGTAGGACGTCGTAATCGATTGCTGTGTCCACACAGCGCTGATACTGCTGCCAGTTGACACGATGGTTATTTCACTGGGATACTTGAACCCTATTTGCCGAATAACCTACTGCGGCCACCACCGGATAGTGATCCGAGCTCAGTTTCTGATAGGCGATAGGTTGAGAGATGTTATCGCCAATGTTGCTTGATGTCTCTTCGGAGGTCTGCGGCCGAGCCGTCCCTAATGTTGGTTTGCTTGGGGTAGTAGACCGCGATGATGGTGATTGGACCAAGCGATGTGCTCACCTCAACTCCGGTGGATTTGATAGTGTTCAGCTGGAAGCTTGGTAGTAGCCGGCAGCTGATGTTCCGTCTCGCAGCTATGGCCACTCCGCCTCCCCGAGAGCTGCTGCGGTCAAGTCTCACGAGCTGAAAGTCGGGAAGGAAGACGTTCAGCTCGGACTTCAAGTGAGTCTCGGTGATGACGGCTATGTCGATGTGCTGTTCGTTAAGAAAGTCAACAAGCTCGATGTTTTTGCTCTTCAAGGAGCGAGCATTCCAATTTACGATCTTGATGGCTTCACGGTCCATACTTAGTGACAAGGGACAGGGCAGCATGTACCTGTTCAGATCGAGTCTTGCATGTGCGCATGATGATGGGCGGTGGATGAGCCTGGAATTGGCTGGGCCGCTGCAGTAGCGAGACGATGCTGAACTGTCCGACTGTTGGGAACCATTTGTATACTCGCAGGATTGGCTTGTTGGTTGTTGAGTGGAAGCGGGGCTAGGTTCGGAACATGTCGACGGGGCTGGAGAGCGGGGTAGTGGACTTCCGTGAGTACAGGAGGCAAGCGATGATTATGGAGGCAACCGAGCTGGTTGTTGATTGTAGCCTTCCGGCGGATATTAATGAACTCCACTCGCTTGGGACATTCGCGTTTGGAGGCTTGGTGGTTCCCATTGTTTCACTTGACACACGTTGGCTAGATGTCATCATCTTGCTCACAGGACGCAGTTGAGTGAGTTTCAGCACACTTGCCGCAGTTTGCACGTGAAATGCACCAGGAACAACTGATCACGGAAGCTGGTGTTGTGGTTGGAACGCCGGTTCATCGGGAACACTGCCTCAGGCTTGAGCGCAAACCGCTCCAGCTCGGATTTCACCGCGCCTCCAACGACGGTAATCCACGCAAAACTACCTTCAGCGGCTTGATCGATGGCAGATCATGCGTGAAGAAGTCCACGTTGTTGTCCTTCAGGAAACATCCTATTTGTTTGTACTCCTCCAGGCTGGAGCACATGATTTTGGTACCAATGCTGCAAAGTTTGAAGGCACCCAGCGTAGCAACATCATTCACCGTCGTGAAAAGTGGGGAAATCTGCTCTTTTCTTGCAATGGGAACGGCGTCACCATCGCCATTTTCTTCCGAGAGTACTGCATACTGGTTGGCTTGCAGTACTCGTTTTCCGGCGACATCCTGCGACGCACTGGGCTGCTTGATTAGCACCTTCTTTCTTGCCAGAACGCGAGATGGTGGCGACACTTCCACGGCGCAACGCAACAGCACAGAACGAAACAAAATCGAATCGAGAATCCGAGAGAAAATACGGACTAATCAAAATTATCACCGATTGGCTGCAAACAGCGCATTCCCTAACACAGATTTCAAAACCGAATTCGATCCTGTCTCCCTGAACGGTGCTTATTAAATCACCGTGTGTGGTGGTGTCCGGTCGGTCGTCTGCAGTAACAGCAGCAGCAGCAGTGCTTTCGGCTGATAGTATCATTGATAGAAGCAGTTGTGATAGGGATAGAGATAAGTGATAAAGATAGGTGTGAAAATGATAATTGATAGGGATAATTTTGATGTCTGCTGCTGTGTTTACGGTATAATTGCGGATCATCAAACAGATGAAATAATGTATGTGCGCACTTTGCACAAAGGAACCATAACCTCCCACTGGCAACACAGTACTTGTTCGAGTATGGTGTCTGCTACTACTACTACTCAGAGAAAATGGCAAAGGATTATCTCTAGGATCTTCTTCCAATTTATGAATTCATATACATTTGAAGAAACATTTTGCAACTTAGAAGTCGAAATTCTCAAAAATTATAGCAAATACACACATTTTTGTTCATGCTTAAATAATCCTTAGGGAAATAAAAAACTTTTGTCAGGAGGAATTCTAGATCTTTTTTGTCTAACAACTAAAAACTTCGAGAGAAAGGCATGTGGCTCTGAATTGTGGGGCCGAAAATGGTATTTTTTAATTTGGGACCTTGACCATTTCACAGAATATTCATTGGCATAATTAGAGAAGATTGTCAGTTTGATTTTTCGATCATCTAAATCATTTTCGAGATAATTGACTAGATTTTTAATGATCCAACAAAAATGGGGGTGTCCGTGGTTTTTTTTTTTTGAGAAATTTTATTTGTTAAATATTTTTTATCTCATCATGAAAAAATTGGACTCCAAGCAAAACGGTAGGTCGATGTTTTATAGTTTTTCTGTTATCTTTTCCAATGCTTTTAGAAAAATCAAGGCGTATTTATTTTTTTCGGTGCGATGAACTTTTTTTTTCCTTGATTTGTTTTCCGTCGATCTTGTTTTCCGTACTGCGTACCAATGCTACCGACATCAGGGAGGCAGCTTCCACACCAGGACCCTACCTATCGACCCATCAACTCATGAACCGGGGACCAACGGCTTTACTTCCCTTCCGAAGGAAGGCGTGAGATCAGAGATGTTATGCCTCAGAAAATTCCGGTGGCACCGACTGGGATTGAACCCAGGCCTTTTGGGGTGAGAGGCAATCACGCTTACCACTACACCACTGGCGCCTAGCGATGACCTTTACCTTAACGCAGTCGTTATCGTTATGGAATTATCTAAACAAAAAACGTTATTCCATTCTCCGGAAATTTCCAACGCAAGTTCACTTTTCATAAATTTACTTCCGCAGCTGGATGACGAACCGTTATCGTTAACCTTATCTCCTTACTATTTACAGTTTGCAAATTTCGACTGCATGTCTGTGAATTACCTGGGTCGTAAATTTTGCGTGTTAAAGAAAAAAGAACTTAATTCCTAAAACGTTTAAAAGCTCGACTGCCAGGAGCCTCTCAGTTATTGTTCCAAGTCACCTACCGAAATGCAGTTTAAAGTGTCGTTGATCGTCATCTTCGGGATTCTAAGCGTGGCTCTATCGCAGAATCCCAAGGAAGAAGAGTGTGAAGTTCTGGCTGTGGGTCTTCCAGTGCTCACAGTGTGCAATGATTGTTCATCAATGTACATCTGTGGCGACTCAGTATCTACTTATCTTGTGACCTGCGCGGAAGGAACGTATTGTTCGCAGGAGGCAGGACAATTTGCACAATGTGGTGAACTATTACCAGATGGATGTGAAGCCCCTATCCCACCGGAGCCAACCAACCCACCAGAGCCAACCAACCCACCGGAGCCAACCAACCCACCGGAGCCAACCAACCCACCGGAGCCAACCAACCCACCGGAGCCAACCAACCCACCTCAATCTATCCTCTGCACTGGCTTTGGCTTCTACCCGGATCCATCCGACTGCACTGGGTACCACTTTTGTACCGAATACGGGCAACCATCGCAGTTCCAGTCTTGTCTGCCAGACAACATCTTCGATCCCGACTTTATGTCGACTCCGTGCAAGACAATCGTCGATCAATCAGTTGACTGTCTGAAGGTGAACTGTTCCGAAAGTTCGGTGTTCAAAAGCTACGGAACAAGCAGTCGGTACTACGCTTACTGCAGTAAGGATAAAACCACGGATGAAACGATAGTGTCCATGTTCAGGTGTGTTGATGGAACGAGCTTCGATGGGTCACGATGCGCGTTCCAGTGCCCAGGCGAGGGAAATTTTGCCAACGCACTCAGTGATTCCAACTACTATCAGTGCTACTACTCTGACGAAGTGCTTGTCAACCGATTGCTGCCCTGTCCGGGAAGTAGGAAGTTTAACGCAACATTGCAGATTTGCCTATAAGAGGGTTCAAGTTTAATATGTAAGTGTGTAAATGATATATTTTGGTAAGAGTAAAACTAATTACAGATGATTATCGGAAGCATTTTTAATTTATTCGAAACCCGGTTGTAGGTTGTCAGGTGACAGGGGAGGTATATCAATGGTACACAAAATCAAAACGCAGGGGATCTCAAACACTTGTTGACTGTGATCCACTTCGTGAAATTTCCTTAATTCGTCATCCACCGATACTGAAGACAGATATTGTAAAGTGAACCCTACACGATTGCTTTTATTGACAATAATCGTATTGTCAATACATGCTATTTGACGTCAATATATCGAGATTGACAATATTTCTGAATTCACATCATCAATATTATTGTCAATAATTCCCCTTCGCGTCAATATATTGATGCGTGTGGGGTTTGCTTAAGCCTTAAGGGGGTATTCCCAATCTTTTGCCTTTTTTCGGCCTGTTTTTCAATTAATTTTTTTTCAAGGAAAATGAATAGTAATGCGCCTAACTCTTTGGGATTATTGTTTATTGAACATTAAAGTTTACAAATAAATTTTTTTCGACATAAAAAAAAGACATTATTGACGTCACAAAATGGCGGCAAACAGACCCCTGTTCGCCGCAAACGCCTGGACGGGCGAAGACTTTTCTCTGGAACGGCTTCATCTGAAACAGATTTCGTGATGAAATTAATAATCTGCATAAGATTCTCTGGAGCTTCTCCCGTTGGCAGCAAAAAATCTTGCAAATTAACAAAATGGCGGCCATATGAAATAACAGGCGATTTTTAGCCCGCTTTTTTGCAGCTTTAAGGTGCTTCAAACAATGTTAAATGTTAATATTTTTGCCTGAAAGTGGGAGAAGTTCCAAAGAATTTAATAAGGAACAAAATGCGCAAAGATTCAAGTCAATATCTCTTATAGTTTCTGAGAAAAATCTTCGCCCGATAAAAAAATGTGGTTTCGAGAAAAACGCGTTTAAAGTTTTGACTTTAGTTAAAACCATTTGGGGGTTCTTACCATTAGTCAGCTATGCCTGGACACCGAATTCGCTGATCGGAAAACGGCTTGGGGGGATGAAAGTATATAGTCTAAAGTACAAAAAAACGTGAAAAACAAAAATTTGATTTTTTGAAAAAAAAAGATCGGGAATACCCCCTTAAGTGACCAGAAAACGCAAAAATGCATTCAAAACGCAAGGCTTAAAGCTGCTTTAAAAAATCGACAATGGCCTACAAAGTGTAAAATTTGCTGAAAACTGCCGTCGTGTGACTGAGTAAAATTGTATTGTTATCATAAAACTTCTTGAGATTCCAGCTAGACCTGTGCGCCGGTCCATTCATCGGCGGCGGCGGCGGCGTGGAAACCATTTTTGCCTCGACGGTGGTGGTGTAGTGGCGTGACACCGATGACTAGAGTTGCGACCTATCACAATCACGATCTTAAAACAGCTGAAGGTAGTAACGCTTGATACATTCCTATCAATGTGCTTGTCGAAGCACTCTCCGTGACCATTAGACTGATGCAAAATTTGAAAATGGTCTTCAACAAAGTTTTAGCTGAGATAATTTTCAACAAGGTCAGCTATCATTTTCTAAAGTAGAGTGAACTGATAAATTTTGAGATAGATACAAACCGAAATTATGGTTTCTCCATAGTACGAACGAAGTAAAAAGCAACTGGTGAATGCCGTCGTCGGTGGTGATCCATCACCGATCTGGCCATTCCAGTCAATCTCGACACTCATCTGTGCTAGTTTTGAAGCAGTTGCTGCTTTGCTTACTTATGTGAGTGTGTTGGTGAGTGAGCCCAACACCTTCCGTTTTATTTTGCCAGCTTTGTTTGTAACTCACACATTCGCGCGTGCCGAGATGAACATGGAATTCGCAGGCATTGTTTTCATTTTCGCCTGTCGTTTCTGTGAGACCAGAGGCAGGCTACGAAGCGGAATCACGTCGTTCGGAGGAATAAAGCAACAAGAAAAACACGAAACAATCGGAGACGATTAAAAAGCACGCGGCGTCGTTGCGAATCGTTTATTGACATTAATATAGTTCAAAGAGTATGAAAACAAGGTAGTATTTAGTAGTGCGCGATCTCGCGCTGGAAACGGTGAATGACAGAGGGGTGCACCGTTGTATCGCCTAACACTCCTCCTCAACGTAATGCCCTCGGTCAGTCGCCAGTCCGATCATCTCAGCAAAGCGGTTGTGCTTCACCGCCCCAAGCGGCTTCGTGAGGATATCTGCCTTCATCAATTCAGTGGGGCAGTACTTCAGGTTTACCACACCACGCTCAACCAAGTCACGGATGAAGCACTGTTTAGTCTCGATGTGTTTAGACCTCTTACTAATTCTCTCTGACTGCACAAAGCTCAAACACCCTTGATTGTCTTCGTACACCAAGGAAGGGTCTGTCTACTTTTCGCCTAAATCCTGGAGTAGCTGCCTTGTCGACATCACCTCTTGACACGCCTCACCAAGGGCAACGTACTCAGCCTCCATCGATGATAGGCTAACACAGTCTTGTCGTCGGCTCGTCCATGTCACAGCTCCTCCTCCAAAGAACAACACGTATCCAGTCATGGACTTCCTGGTCCTTGGATCACCGGCCCAGTCGGAGTCGGAAAACACTTCCAACTTGCAAGCCGCCTCTCCCCCAAGTCGTAAACGCCAGTCCGCTGTCCCTTTTAAGTAGCGGACAACGCGCTTGGCCGCAGTCCAGTCGCCTTCCTTCGGGGTTTCGAAGCTTCGTCCCAATATAGAAGTACTTGTTGCGATATCGGGTCGAGCACAGGTAGCGATGTACATGAGAGCTCCTACAACGCTCCGATATTTCGTATTGTTGGTGAATTCTTCACCTTTCTCCTCCAGCTTCAGGAAACCGGTATACATTGGAGTCCGCGCAGATTTCGCATTCTCAAGTCCTAGACTTCGAATCAACTTCTGAATGTACTGCTGTACTCCCAAGCTGAACACTCCATCTGCATATCTGCGAATCTCCAATCCCAAAAAGGACTTCGGATCACCTAGCCAGTTCAGTGGCGCTTCAGCTCTTCGTACACCCGTGTAATCTCCTTCTCAACTGCGCATCCGATCAACAAATCGTCCACGTATACGAGGATATACACCTTTCTTCCATTTTGGGTTGCGACGAACAAGCAGGGGTCGGTGGAACTAGCAGTGAAGCCTATTGCATTCAGCACACTAGTCAACTTCTTGTTCCAGCAGCGCGCTGACTGCTTAAGTCCGTAAATGCTTCTGCGCAAACGGCATACCTTCCTCTCTTGTCCTCGCACAGCGCAGCCGGGTGGCTGCCGCATATAAACTTCTTCCTCAATGTCGCCGTATAGATAAGCTGTTTTGATGTCAAGGTGTTTCAAAACCAGCCGATCTCGTCCAGCAATCACCAGTAAGGTACGTAATGTCGAATGGCGAGTAACGGGCGCCAAGATCTCGTCATAATCGACGCTGAACTTCTGCACGTGACCTTGGGCCACCACACGAGCCTTGAAACGTGTCAGCTGTCCTGCTTCATTTTGCTTGACCTTAAACGCCCAGCCGCTTCCTACGACCTTCCGTCCTGCTGGCAGATCCGTAAGTTCCCAGGTACCATTACGCTCATGCGACCGGATTTCGTCATCCATCGCCTGCTTCCAGGAATCACGTTCCGCACACCTGACTGCTTCGTCATAGGACACCGGCTCTTTCACCATTTGCGTGGCTGCACCAACAACAAAATCAGAGTACCGGTCGGGCATTTTTCCCCGATTCTTACGCTTTCCGCTCGTCTCACTCACATGATTCTGATCATCATCGTCACTCATCAAACTGTCATTGTCATTGTCACTCATCGGTTCACTTTTGATTTCCAGGGGATCTTCTGCCGCCTCTGGCTCATCTTCCGGGTATTCTTCACACTCACCAAATTCTTCGTAATTGGACTCTTCGCACTCTTCGCCTGGTACAGGGTCAGCGTCCGGTTGCTCGTTCCCTTCCAGTTGCCGTGCCGATGTGAACGGAATACCGTCCTGTTCTTCCACGCCATCTTCTCCGCCAGCTCGAACATCCACTTCGTTCAACTCTAGAAACCGTGCGTCACGGCTGATGGTGACCTTCTGAGTTGCCAAATCCACGAACCGATAGGCCTTGTGTTGATCCGAATAGCCGATGAACACCAGCTTCTGAGCTTTACTGTCGAACTATCCACGTTTTACAGACGGAATGTGAACCCACGCACTACTGCCGTATACCCGCAAGTGATCCAACTTGGGTTTTCTTCCATGCCACTTCTCGAATGGAGTAGTATCGACCGACTTCGATGGCAGCCTGTTCTGCAGGTAGGCTGCTGTTAGCACCGCCTCACCCCAGAACTGATGGTCCAGCTTCGCATCGAGAAGCATCGCTGTGGCCATCTCTTGCAAGTACCTGTTGCGCCGCTCGGCGACGCCATTATGTTGGGGTGTGTAGGCCGTTGTAAATTGTGCCTTTATCCCCTCAGCAGCGAAAAATTGGCGTACTCGCCCCCACCATCTGAACGTACAATTCGTGGCTTAGTGCCAAACAAGTTTTCTACATACCTGACGTATTCCATCAGTCGGTCGGCTGCCTTAGACTTCTTGCTCAGCAGGTACACGACGGTGTACCGACTGTAATCGTCGATTACCGTCATCAAGAAACGCTTTCCACTCGGTGTTGCGGTGCGTGTTGGGCCACACAAGTCCGTATGTACCAGATCAAGGACCTTTGTTGACTTTCTTTCGGCCGTCTTCGGAATGGCCGATCGAGGCAACTTACCCTCAAGACATACCTCGCACGTGAGGCGGATTCCACAGTCCTTTACCTTAACACCATCAGCAAGATTCTGTTTGCACATTCTCTGAATTACCGTGGGGTCACGGTGCCCAAACCTTCGGTGCCATTGATGCTGGCACAGCTCATTATGCCGAGCATTATTCGCACTTTTCACCACTTCGGACACTTTCAGATGATACATACATCCACGAAGATCACCCCTGGCAACCACTTTTCCAGAATCGTCACAAAAGTCACATTCGTTCTTCACGAAAATCACGTTCAATCCTTTCGCGGTAAGCTTCGGCTGTGCCTCCAGAGCCATCAACACCATACACAATCACTTTGCCGGTCCCCGCAGCCTTCACGGTGCTACCGTTGGCCAGCGCCACGTCCGGAGTGACACTTTCGTCAAGCGAACTAAACCACTTTCGATCGTTGCTCATGTGCGCGGTCGCACCACTGTCAATGACCCAATCACACGTTTGCTTCTGGCCAGCCATGAACAACATAGCACTGGCACACTCCGCGGTGACTTTCTTCGCCTTATGCTGGCTCTTCTCCTTTTCTTTTGGCTCTTTCTTCGCTTGCAGCAACCGACAGTTGCGCCGCAGGTGGCCTTTCTTTTTGCAAAAGAAGCACACCTTTTCCGCGACACTATACGAATCTTTCGCATCACTTTTCATCACGCGCACATCCGAGGATCCACCACCTCGCTCTTTCCGCCTTTCGTGTTCGTCGAGAAGCTTCGATTTGACAAGCTCAGTCGTCAAATCTTCGTCAGAGCGGCTCTCTAATGTCGTTTTCGTTTTTGCGGTGTAGCTACACCGGTGCTACACTGCCGTACACCGAAATATGTTAGGGTGTAGATATAGGATGCACTTTTGTTTACAAACAAATGATGTTGAGCTGTCAAAGACTCGCGCTTATTCCTGCTTACACTACACCAGTGCTACACCGCAAAAGCGAAAACGACATAACGCTGTAACGAGCCCACCGTAGGAATCGGGCAAACTGCGAAGCAGCATTGCAATTTTCATCGGTTGTTCCAGCTTCAAATCAGCGTTCTCCAGCCGACTGAAAAGTTCCTCAACCTCGAACAAGTGGGCTTCCATGCCTCCGCCTTCCAGAAGGTTCAAATTACACAGCTTCCGTAGAAGACTCACTCGAGAGGTGACTGTCACCTTCTCATGATAATCACGAAGCGCTTTCCAAAAATCTTTCGCGTTATCCGCACCCTTCACGAGGCTATACTGACTGTCCTCTATACATAGCCCAATGGTAGCCCTTGCCTTTTTGTCATCCTTTGACCACTGAGGCGTCTCGGGCTCCGGTTTTGGCTCATCGACGACATACCAAAGCTCTTCGCGGATCAGGAGCATCTCCATTCTAAACTTCCATGACTGTCAGTTTTGGTTGTTCAGTTTGGAGAATTTGCTCAACGCTTCCATCTCACACACGAGACACTCTTTTTCGGTCCGGCAAAGCACACGCACACTAATGCACCGCGAATGCACTCGCCGAAGACGAGTCAAATCACGCACAAATTTTGCACCGGGAAAATCGACCGAAAAACACTTATTCCTCGGAACTTCCACCTGGGCCCATAACCTGTGATACCAGAGGCAGGTTACGAAGCGGAATCACGTCGTTCGGAGGAATAAAGCAACAAGAAAAACACGGAACAATAGGAGACGATTAAAAAGCACGCGGCGTCGTTGCGAATCGTTTATTGACATTAATATAGTTCAAAGAGTATGAAAACAAGGTAGTATTTAGTAGCGAGACGGCTAATACATAGGTGTAACAGTCGGAAGAAGTGTTAGTTTGTTTACTTAAATGAACCATGCCCATTTTGTTATGGCATGTTTGCTATACGAAATGCGCCTCGTGTTTATTAGCGAATTTCACATCAAAGATTGATTAATTGAGTAGGAAATCAGTTTGGCACGGCATTTGTGACCAGCATACACCTTCCGGTAGTATGAAACAGGTCAAAAACTGTTCAAATCCGCAGATAAAATTTTTGTTTTGAATTTCTGTATAGCAAAATAGTGAACTTTTCGTGAACATTAACGGCAAAGAACTCACCAACACTGGGAGACTGTGAGTTCCTGCCCACCTGTTCATTTTCCATCGTGATTTAGTAGTGCGCGATCTCGCGCTAGAAACGGTGAATGATAGAGGGGTGCACCATTGTATCGCCTAACAGTTTCGCTTTTTCTCATCATCGTACTGCAGAAGTCCTCACTGTTTTCGATGTGCTTTACATCATCAGCAGCAAGTGTTACATGTTACCTGTGAGCAGCGATCACTCTACCTATCCCTTTATAAATCTGTTCAGTAAATCACTTGGTATTTGTTTTATTGATGTCACGACAAAATTCTCCATAAAGGTGTTTTATCATTGTAAAAGCAATTATGAAACCGTTCGGTTTCAAACGGTATCCAAAAGCATATATTGATGCGTTTTGGTGTCAATGAAGTATATAACAAAACCTTCCACTGTTTACAAATAAAACTTAAAAGATCGATCCGCCTAGAGACAGAGAAAAACATAATCGGGTGGGGCTTTCAAACCCAGATTCACAAGGAAATGTCGAAGGATAATCGAGTGATAATTCTAGCAATGCTGTCGACGGAAGAGGAAAGGAATCCAATCCAGAACTTTTTGGAAGGGCAATTCCGACAAAATCGGTCAACAAAAACAGAGACGACTGAGAGGAGTGAAGTGAATGCGGTTTACGAAGCACTGGAAGCCGTCAAATTAGACGCCTAAAATTGATGGGAATACACAGCATATTGCCAATGGCAGCCTTCTCCAGAAATAACGTTGCGATGATAACCCGAATAGCATCAGTGCCAAACTGGGACTGCGGAGAACTACTGACAGGAAACTCATCCGGAAGAAGGAAAACTTTTCGGGAACGATTGACCTTAACCTGTTCCAAGTTACGTAGACTCACTTCCTGAGTAACTGCTTCCGATAGATGAATTCTAGATAGAGCTGGAATTAGGGCGTAACAGCCTTTGTAAACAATGACATATCTCGTCTAGGACATCTAGGAATTCAAGGTACGCCTACACAAACCAACATATCC